TTATGCAATGCTTATTACACGACTGGTTCTTGGAGAGCAGCATATGTCGAAACCATATTTCCTGTACCGAATGAAGTCGAGTGGAAAGTTCCTGATCACATTCTCTTATTGAATAATTTGTTGCCACCAGCAGTCGGCCCACGTAATCCTGGACGTACATGTACGTATAGAATATCATTGATCGAATAATTTTCCCGACCTCGTAAGTGCGGTGCAACATGACATACTAGAAGATTTTGTACAAGTCAGATCCCTCTGCATGACAACGTAACAGATGTATAATTGAAGTTTATGTAACATTATTTATAACATTAATATTAATTATTCACGCATATTCTTAATGTTAATTATTAGATTTTATTTTTTTATTTTAATATTTCATTAATTAGTTGCGTAATATTTGAAGTTAATCATTTTTTAAAACTCAGTGCATTCTCCACAATATACCAAAACATTATAAATTCGTCATGAAACATTTAAATAAACACATAAATTAAAAAAAAATTTAAATGTTAAAAAAATAATATTTGTTTTACAATTATTTCAGAATTACAAATGAATGAATGAAATATACAATGTTTAAACGTTACAATATGTACAATTATTTTAAAGAAATACGGCTTAATATCTACGGAACACCATTAAATTCAAATAAATCACAAGCTAATTTATTTCTCCCCCATGAATAGCTGTTGAACGTATCGATGTTATCAACAACTTGCAAATGAAAAAGTCAATCGAAGTCTTCCTGTGATGACACCTCAGTACGCTCTCTATTATAAATATCATCCTCAAGTTCAACTTGTCGGACATCTGGTCGCATCCCCTGAATGCATCTTCTAACTGCGCCAGTGTCATTGTCGTGTGCCCATTAAAATAATCATTCAGCAGCCTCTTGTCTGTCGAAATACTGGCTCTTGCTGCCTCTTCACCCGTACATTTCAATCCAGTGATGAAGGCAAACTCGAATATAGAAAATATAGCAACCTTGCCCCCAAAATCAAAGTGAAGGACATCTTCATCAACCGGCTTAAGCAGCCGACATAGTAATAAATCGATCAATTGTCCAAAGAACTGTACAGATCGCAGTAAATACAGGGATCATAGGCAGGATCGACGTAATATCTCCGCGTGCTACTCGTCCAGTGAATCCAACACTGTTGTGAAACTGGCAAAGTTACAGTTCGACGTAACTTTGCCAGGAACCTGTTTCAAGGCTGCATCCAAATGGTAATCCATCCTACAAAATTTCAAATGTTCCAATATTTGAAACATAATGTCACAAAATTCAACTAACCAAACTGTAAGTAATATACGCACGAAATAACAGATAATAAAGAAAATAATAAAAATTACACACAACAACTTATAAAAAAGGGAAAAACTAATTTTTATAAAATTATTTATTTCATAATTTATTTTAATCCATGTTAGAAATTTATTTCAATTCTTTATTTAATTAAATTTGATTATTTATATTTACTTTCATATAAATTATTTTGAAAATTTATATTTCTTACTTATTTGAATTGTTTATTTTTATTTAAATTTTAATTATTTATTTCAATTGTTTATCTAAATTATTTATTTCAATTGTTTATTTGTTTATTTAACATTTATTTTAATTGTTTATTGAAAGCTTAATTTTAATTATTTATTATAATTGTATATTTAATTATTTTCTTTAAATTATTTATTGAACATTTAGACGTAAACATGTAATTATTTCTTATATTTTTCTTTAGTTGTTTATTCAATATTTATTTTAATTATTAAGCGAATATTTAATCATTTATTTTAAATGTTAGATATTTATTTCAATTGTTTATCTACATTTTAATTACTTACTTTGATTATTTTTATCCAATTATTTTTCATTTAATTGTTTCAATTGTTCATTTAAATTATTTGATTTAATTACTTATATTGATCGATTATTTACATTATTTCTTGAACAAGAGCAAACGCAAATATTTCATTATTTATTTCAAATGTTAGAAATTTATCTCAATTAAACATTAATTAATATTTTGATTATTAACATTTATTCATTTATCATTTAAATAATCATTTAATTATTATTTAAATATTCATTATTTATTTTTGTGCGTTTCAATTAATTATTTATTCCAATTTTTTTCATTTATTTATTTGAATTGTTCATTTAAATTATTTGATTTTATTACTTATATGAATCGATTATTTAAATTATTTACCGAACGAACAAAGGTAAATATTTAATTATTCATTTCAAATGTTAGAAATTTATTTCATTAAACTTTAATTAATATTTTCAATATTAACATTTATTCATTTATCATTTAAATAATCATGTAATTATTATTTAAATGTTCATTATTTATTTTTGTGCATTTCAATTAATTATTTATTCCAAATGTTTTTCATTATTTGCTGCAATTGTTCATTTAAATTATTTGATTTAATTACTTATATGGAAATATTATTTAAATTATTTATTGAACAAAAAAACATAATTATTTAATTCAAATGTTAGAAATTTATATCAATTAAATTTTAATTGCGTATTCTGATTAATAACATTTATTTATTTATTTATCATTTAAATAATCATTTAATTATTATTTAAATGTTCATTATTTATTTTTGTGAGAAATTAATTATTTATTCTAATGATTTTTCATTTCAATTGTTCATTTAAATTATTTGATTTAATTATTTCATTATTTAAATTATTTATTAAACAAGTAAACGTAAATATTTAATTATTTATTTCAAATGTTAGAAATTTCTTTCAATTAATCTGTAATTGAAATATGGAAATATTATTTAAATTATTTATTGAACAAAAAAAATAATTATTTAATTCAAATGTTAGAAATTTGTATCAATTAAATTTTAATTGCGTATTTTGATTAATAACATTTATTTATTTATCATTTAAATAATCATTTAATTATTATTTAAATGTTCATTATTTATTTTTGTGAGTAATTAATTATTTATTCTAATGATTTTTCATTTCAATTGTTCATTTAAATTATTTGATTTAATTATTTCATTATTTAAATTATTTATTTCAAATGTTAGAAACTTCTTTCAATTAATCTGTAATTAAAATTTAATTGCGTATTTTGATTATTAAAAAAACTAAAATAAAAAATTATTCTACAGACGGCCCAAACAAGCAGTCGGTTAACAGAAGGACAGTGCCGTCTTCTTCAAGAGCAGAGGTGGGCTGTCTATTAACAGAAGGACAATGCCGTCTTCTTCAAGAGTAGAGGCAGACTGCCTCTGCTCGGAGATCTCCGGCAACCAAACCCTAAAAAAATTTAGTTTTTATTAATTTTACATATTCTACAAAGATTTTTACTACTATTTCCAACAAAATAAACCTTTAACATAGATAATGGGGAAAAAATTATGTAAAACTTACTTTCTTCGTTTCCAACGGTGGCTGGTTGGTCTCCTCTCAAGAAAAACTCGTCGGTTTCCTTATTTTTTCTTCCCTTTCTTTCTCGAGACGTCGATTTGAAAGTGAAATGTCAGGTGCAATTTTGAGTTTTCAATGTTTTTAAGATTTTTACAAATTTTTAATTTTTTTTTAAACAGTAGTCGATCATTTTGAAAAATTATATGTTTTTTGTGGCCACCATTTCCTCTATAAAAACCTCTCCCTCTCAATTCTTACTCCCTCGGACCCCCACCCAAAATTTCGTCCGTCTGCACTCCAGTAAGTTCCTTCATTTCTGATTCTCATCATTTTTTAGCACAATTGTTATTCAAACTTTTAATGTGTATGTATGGTCAATCACTCTACTCACGAGCTCATTTTCTTATTTAATACTTTTTAATTGTTTATTGTGAGTTGATTTAGCCCTTGTTTGAGTCCTATTTCCTATTTTACAGGAGAAAATAAATTTTTAAATACTATATTGATTGAAAATATGTGGTTAAAATATAAGAAAAAAATTTTGATTTACGTATAATATTATTTTATTTAAGAATGTGTGGTTAAAATGATATCAAATCAACGTTTAAGAATGTATTTTAATGGAAAAATCAGGTCAAACAATGGCTTAGTTTATTAAGTTTTATATTCATTTAACTAAATGTTTAGTTTTCAAATTAAAGTCCGAATTTTGGATTGATTTTGTAAGTAAATTTGTATGTTGTATTTTATCGTACAATTTCTGTTGTGATTTAAACTAATATGTACGTACGTATAGCGGTTTTCTCCACTCACGTTCATTTGTTGTCTAATGCTTTTTATTATAATTTGATGTTAATTCATTCAATTCGTTAAATTTCTACAGTTCATTCAACTGAATGTTTAATTTTCAAATTAATTAATTTGATTTTGTAAGTATAATTTTATAACATATACTCTAGTACAGTTTCTACTTTGATTTTCCCTTATACTTGAAATTTTTGGGTTTGAAAATTAATTATTATTATTATTATTTTTTACCGAATGATGGTAAAACTTAAATTGTGTGATCGGTTTTCTGGTATTGAAGCTTAAACCTACGGTTTTGAGAAACATTTCTTGACTTTCTGGTCCTTATGTTGTACTTATTTGAATGCAATGTACTATACCGAAGCGCTAGATACCGTCGATTCTTGTAAATTTGTTCTAGTTTCGGAAAACATTTATATGCTACCGATCAACTAATTTTGTATCAATCAATGTGTAGATACCTTCGAAATTTTGATCTACGAGCGTTACGGTAAAATTAATATGATAATTTTAGCATGCACTTTTTTCATAATGCAAGTTTTCGTAAATAACTTTTACGAGGATTTATTTTTCTTTCCAAATTATGTTAAAATGAGCTTTCTGTGATGTGATAAATAATTAAGTGAATTGCTTCACAAAAAAGGCAAAGTGTGGTTAATGTATGTAGTTGTTTGTAGACTCAGCTTACGATTTATATAATGTTGTAAAGTGGCCTGACCTCATTTTATTTTTCTCTCTAATTGTGATCCACTAATCAATGAACGTGTTTGCTGTGGATTAGATGGAGCAGGTAAACATAATTTTGTCTTGACTCTTTTTCACATATAGTCATGGTTGTACGGATTGTGATGTCTGCTAATTCTGGAGACAGTATGAAAAAGTTGAGAAGATT